CAGCAGTCTAGGGCTCCTATAGGAAAAAAACAAAAACATTTCCTCACCTCTTCCAGATGCTCAGCTAAAGATATCCAAGGGTAACTGAGGCAAGGACACTCCTGACAAACTCAAACTAGATTTTTTGACTTCTGTTGTGGCAAAAGTCTTTTAATTTATCATTGAGCTGTTTAATTTATCTTTATTTATTTAGCTGGTTTTAATTTATCATTGATACTGGTTTATAGAAGGGGTTCTCTGTGGTGGCTTTTTTCCCACAAATAAGTGTTCTGTCCTAGCAACTTCCCAGTCAGTTTCTTTTGTGAATAGGTCCTGGATTTTACAAAAGAAATATTTCTTTCTCTGCCAGAGCTCTTTTGAACTTGAACTTTCAAACTTTAACTATTTTGAACTTCTTTTCCTTAGAAAGAACAACTGCTGTTGTAGCCAAATGAGCTGTGAAACTTCAGGGTACCAAAGGGCAGGCTTCCCCATGGAACATATTGTTAATAGCTTCCTTTCCTTTCTGTATCAGATGTTAGACTTCACTGAAACCAGGAATGTATACCTCAACTTATTAGGAAGCACTGACCATGGAAGCACTGATGATGAGCCAGGTGAGAAGGAGCTGAGAAGGCTACAGCTGGATGGAAGATACAGATCTGTAGTCATGAGACTTAATTGGCTCATTTTGTGCAATTTGTTCACTTACCTGATGTGTGTTGTTAGGACTTGAGAGGGGCCAGAAGACCAAAAAGAGCACAAAAATGAAACTGAAATTACTGCAGCTGCCCTGCAAGGTGTGAACTTTACGAGACCACCAGTAAAAACTAAACAGGCTTAACCAACCCCTCTAACAGAGCAGTCATGGTTTCTATGGGAAGCTAAGCCCCCACTATGGTTAGTGCTGTGCTTGTCTCATGCAGTGGCAGGTCTAAATACCAACCTGCCACTACTGACACAGCTGTAGAAGCTGTGGTAGGCAGAGACTGTGCCAGGTGTAGCCAGACTTGGCTGGACCGGGGCAGGGTCTCTGCTGAGATTTCCCAAAGCTGTTTTCCTGCTGGGACCCAGGCTTGCCTTAAGGTCTGTCTCCACAGCCTGGCTGACCCGCAAGTCTGGCAGGTGATGGATTTCTCTGGCTGCAGCACAGTGCTGACTTCCCTGCCAGGTGTAATGCAGAACTGCTCAATGTTGGCAGCTCTCTTGCCTTTGATATTGTGAGACTTTCCAGGCAGGGTGATTGCCTCTCTCTCTCTGGGTGTCAGCTTTCAGCCACCCTGGGGAATTTGCAGCTTTTGTGCAAGACTTCCTTTTTTTAAACCCCACTGCCTTTGCCTGCCTTCAGCCTCCTCTTGGGTGACTTCCCAAGGCGACTTCCAGGCTCCAGACATGGGGCTTCCTAAAACTTGTGCCTCTGCTGTGCTTTTGGTGTTGTCTGCTCTGGGGCCTGTGCCCTGGACAGATGTTGCAGCTGTCTATGAGCACAACATGGTGTTGTCAGAGGACACTGAAGTGCCAGTTTCTCCTGAGGAGGTCTTGATGCTGGTGGAGAAAAATATTGCAATTTTGGAAGCAGCCATCAAGGAAGCAGCCAGACTCATTAGAGACATTTTTTTGAGTAAACACTGACCATTGTTTATTGTCTTAATGGTGTTTGTATGTTAGTAGCAGGGTGCCCATATCATTGTGACTCCTGAAGACAGCATTTATGGAGGGGTCTTCATAAGGAAAACAATATAACTTTATCTTGAGGATATCCCAGACCCACCAGACAGGTGGATTGTATTCCTTGTGCTCATCTTGGAAGGTATCATGCCTGTTATATATGGGGGAACAGTCTGAAGGGAAAGACAGTTAGGGGCAGTTGTTGTTAGTTTTAAATGTCTTGGAACAAGTTCTGTGAAATAAAGCCAAGGTAAGACATCATGTAGTTGCCATAAATAGCTTCAGACAACTTTGTTCATAATTTTTCTTTGCCATTTTTTCTCAGTGTAATTTTTTCTATTTTAGTTAGTATACCAGGAAGGTTGAGATTTATTTAATAGAAAAACAAGTACATAGAATCTATGTTTTAGTAAGGAATTCTACGCATATTGTAGAAATGTTTAAGATACAGAATTATTAGGAATATTTGTGAATAAAATAACAGCTACTACTGAAAGAATATACTGCACAATATAAAACTCAGATTTTTGAATCATTGTGTGGTAGCCTTTTCATTCTGTTATTTTCCTTAATAAATGGCACCATTTATTGAAGCTGCAGTAAGAAGACAGGTAACAAAACACACCATTGAAGAAACAAATCCTAAGCTACCTCAGCACACCAGCCACATGGAGAGCTGGAGCAGAAGGGCTGAGAGTAGCCCCTGTGTTGGGTGTAACTTCCGCCCCGTGCCACACACCAGCAGCAGAATGGAGATTTGAAGGTGTGAAGATTTGCTTCTACTGTCAGGAAGCTCCTGCATTCCTCAGTTAATGTGAGGTGATGGGAGCATTTCAGCTGCTAAGCTCTGAAGCACAAATCTGTTGTTTTCTGTCAAGTAACAGAAAACAGCAATCTTCTTGTAGATACAACTAACTTAGATCTATTGGTCTGATGATCTGTAGTCTTAACATTGAAAGGCTTTTTTATTAAATGGTTTTGATGTTTTATTTCTTTCTTTTTTCCCTCCTAATTAGGTTTGCTCCTTCATCCATGCTTGAAAGACTGAGCTGTCTGGCAAGGAATAACTCCATCTATGTGGTTGCAAATATGGGAGGCAAGAAACTGTATAATTCCAGTGACCTGAGGTGCCCAAGTGATGACTGCTACCAGTACAATAGCAATGTAGTCTTTGACTCAGAAGGGAAACTGGTGGCTTGTTATCATGAGGCGAGAGAATTTTACAATGTTCAGGAAGTGCATGATTCTCAGGAGATTAAAGATATGAAAGAGAAGCTTCTTCCTGGGCTTAAATGTATTTCTATTTAGAGTCATAACAGACCTATTGTCAGAGGGCAGGTGAAAACCACTGCCACTATTCTGAATTTAAAAACAAGTCTTTAAATGAGAAGTAAAGCTCAATAAACCCTCTGTTTTTACTGCATCTCAGTAGGAAGTGACACGCAAGATATTTAAACATTAACATCCTAAATAAATACTTATTGACTAAATACAAGTCCACTTTACTGGTATAAATCAGAAGGAACAGATATTTGTGGCTGACTTCTCTTGTAGTGGTATGAGTTCTCCATTTTGAAATTAACGTATAGCACATTCACAAAATATATTCTCCATTACTTGTATTTATGTGAATGATTCAATGCTCATTTAACTTGAATCGTTTGTTTTCTCATATTTTATTTTCTCCATTCTTTTTTTTCTTTTCTATGAGCAGTACAACCTTTTTGTGGCAGAGAAACAGTTAAATTACCCCAAGGATCCAGGATTTGTGACTTTCAATACATCCTTTGGCTACTTTGGCATTTTCACTTGCGCAGACATACTCTACCACATCCCAGCTGTGGTCTTGGCAAATAGATTTCAGGTTGACATCCTTCTGTTCCCAAGTGCTTGGGTGAACGCCCTTGCACTGTTGTCAGCTCTTTAATGGTCCAGTGTCACAGCGTGGGCCATATGACTGGCGGTCAACTTCCTTTCAGGAAATAAACACAACTCCACTTTAGATATGACAGTTAATGTGAGACTGCTCTAACTGATCCTCCTTCTCATGGGCAGCATTTGTATCTGTGTAGTGCAGCTGACCTGAGCAGAAATTCCCATCAGCTCTACGCATGTCAACAGGACTAGAACAGGAGAACTTGCAAAGTTCTTGATATAAAGGAAATAAAAAACATGCTATGTAAGAACTTGGAAATTCTTAAGTTGACTACAACACCTCTAGTCTTTGTTAAATAATTAGTCTTGGGAGTTTATGAGTGTTATTTTTCATCTTCTGACCCAGGTGTTTTATTGGCGTTTTAACCAAGTAAAGACCCAAACTTAATTTTCTCCACTAGATGGAACCCTAAGTCTGAGAAATGTTCTTGTAAGTTCTGCAACTAATACTTCTGGGCTGGAGCCACTGTGTGTCACATTTTCTTTATAGGCTTTGTTTTCACTGTATATTTTTCCTGAACAGATGCTAGAAGTAAAGCACAGATTTTGTGTGCATGTGTTTGCAGAATTGAGAGAAACTTACTGCTAAAATGTAGCTCTAACCTTTGCCATCCAAATGAAAGTAGATGTGAGCCATTCCTTTAGCTCTCAGTTGCTGAATGTCCTTATGTCATACAATTGATATTCTTTATGAGTAGGCTTTACTCTGGGCTTTAAAGATTTCTCTATTTATGTAAAGTACTTGCATAAAGATGGGAGTTTTGGTAATATCTTTTCCTTACAGAACTTTTTGATTGGACAGTGTTACCACCCACTTTAATCAGAATTACTGATTTCTAGTGCAGTTAAAGAAGAACACAAAACTTCAGCCACTTAAATCATACGTAATCAGGACACTAACCTTGTCATTTACAATACATGAAGCATCAAAGTTTGATATAATTTCCACTGATGGCAAAGACCACTAGGTTAAGATTGTAGTTGTGAAGGCTCAATTTAGTTTCTGGTAAATCAGGTAATCAGTCTGGTAAATGTTAGAATTAAATTTTGCACATACATAATTACTGACTACTGCTTGCCTGTTCCAAATATTTGCTTTCAGATTAGAAAATTTCTGGTGGTATGTGTTTGCAGGGGGTGGTATTTATGCCCCAGATGGTCTAGAGCATATTTCTACAATACTGAAATGGATAATGGTCACCTTTTGGTGACAGAACTGAGTTAACACCCTTGTCTCTCTCCTGACTATTCTGCTGCTGTTAGCTGGACACTGTATGCGGTCCAGATCAAACAGCTTCCACCAAAGAAACACACTTTCAGTGGGGCTGTTTACCATGATCTCCTTCACAGAACTCACTGAATCTGAGGGAAACCAAGCCATTTGCCAGCAGGATGTCTCTTGCCAGCTGAGTCACAAGATGGTAGAGAAGCAGCAAGATGAAATTATGTCCTGGGTGCCTTTGATGGGCTACATGTTGTTGAAGGATGGTATTATTTGCAGGTAAGAGTTTTCTGTCCTTATTTGAACAGTAGGAAGGCTGTAATACTCTCTTTGCTATCTGTTTGCTTTTGGTTTTTTCTATTGGGGCAAGACATTTATTATCCCTCCCCCACTGACTTCATTAGGGGTGTTAATCTGTTTTTCTGTGTTATAAATGATGGCAGTGTAGACCTTGGGTTGATCCTATGCTGTTGTAACACCCTTGAAGGTGAGGTCACCCAACAGTTTTGGCAAGGACAGGACAAGCACATACGTTTCTCTGTGCTGATTGTACATCTACAACACATCTTGCAGAAGTTGCTTTTCAGGTTTTGCAGGATGTAGGTTTGTCAGGATTTATTGCTGAGGGGAGACCTTATTGCTCCCTGCAACTACCTGAAGGGAGGTTGTGGTGAGGTGGAGGTTGGATCGATCATTTCTCCCAGATGACAGGACATATGGAAGTGGCCTCAGGTTGTGCCAGGGGAAGTTTAGATTGGCTACTAAGAAAAATATCTTCACTGAAAGGATTGTCAAGCATTGGAACAGGCTGCCCAGGGAAGTGGTTCAGTTATGATCCCTGAAAGTATTTAAAGAATGTATAGATGTGGTGCTTAGGGACATGGTTTAGTGATTGGTTTAGCAGTCCTGGGTAATGGTGGACTTGATGATCATAAAGGTCTTTTCTAACCTAATTCATTTTATGATTCTAAGCAGGTTTCTGTATATGGGTACGAAAAGGACAGAAGAATGTGCATCTCCCCCTGTCTTCATAGGGGTGCTTTTGTCACAAGAGAGCTGTTCTCTGCTCAGTTGTGCACATTGTGCTCACATTGTGCTGATGTGATTATCTAGCATCTGGTTATCTAACAAAATAAGGAAACTAAATATGGATATACCATTTGTATTTACTCGGCTTGCAAGTCTGTTGATTCTAAAAATTTTACTGCTAGACTTTTTTTAGTGTGCTACAGATCATTTCTACATACATAGAAATATATGGGGAACTATTCAGAGTGTACAATAAATGAATGCATAGATGTACTAGATCATTTTTTCATCATGACTTTTCTGGCTATCAAATCCAGCTCATGGTTGCTGAAAACTTAGTGGTGTTTTGCCTTTCTGTCTCCTCCTCCCCACAGATCTGAACACATGTGGGCAGCCCGTGGAGACGGCTCAGACCAAGTTTGAGATGTTCTCCCTCAGCGGCACGTTTGGCACCAGCTACGTCTTCCCAGAAGTGCTGTACAGCGGGGTGCAGCTGGCCCCCGGGGAGTTCCAGGTAATGGGACACCCTTGTGATTTGTCAGACATCTGTGGTCAAAAAGCAACTTAGTTATTATCAGTGTCCTCTATCCTCTTCCTTGAGTCCAAGGCAGTTTTATTCCTGCCTTGATTTTCCTGGTTGTATTCATACAGTAAGTCCACCTTGCCAATTTATTCTGCCGTTTCTTCAAATCCTGTAGAACAAAAGCTCTTTTAAGATAGAAATGTAGTTTTTCTCAGACTTCCTGCTAGCTCCAGTTGAGACTGGAGCTCTCTCCACTAGATCAGCATTACTGAATATATTAGTTGTGTTTGCCATACAAGAGTAGTGCTTTGATGATGCTCCTGCTTATTTTCCTTTTTCATAAACAGGTGCTAACTGATGGACGTCTGATAAGTCGGAATGCTACATCACAGGCAGTTTTGAGTGTAACACTCTTTGGGAGGTGGTATGAAAAGGATCCTCCACGCACAGATCAAGCTTCACCATGATTTCACTGCAGATCCTTCAACCTTTCATCTCCTTGTTTCTGTAATGTCAATTAGTCACAAATAATGGTAAATAATTCTAATATTCACAATTAAAGTGGCATTCTATTTCTCAAGTTCCTTTATCTAACAGCATAGTCACCGCACTTTCATTTATTGACTTGATTTTTCAGCAAAAGTCAATACTCTGCTGGACTGTTTTTTATTTCTATATGATAGATTTGGTTGGCATAGGCTTGGCCTTAACACTGGGAACAATAGAAAATAAATTCCTCTGACTTTAATGGTGTAGGATTCAGTGGGTTGTGGCCCAATGAAAAGCAATTTTAATTATTGGAAAATTTTGGTGAAGTATGAGCAGCTATTTCCACAGCCCTGTTCCCACCCCATTTCTGAGCAGGCAGTTTTGTAAACAAGAGATTACCAGAACCTTTGAAGATTCTAATTTCCACTGAAAAGTAAAGCAAGCCTTGAAAACGTGGACCTTCAAAAACCAGTTATTCAGCTCAGCACACCGTAATGTGTTGCCAGACTATGACAGGCACTTCATGAGGGAGGAGTCTGCTTTAATCTTCTGACTACATTTTTAGGATGTGGAAAATCTCCCTAGGACAGAATTGTTGATAACTGTATCCCAAACTCTCAAAGCAAGCAATTTCTCAGGAGCATGTTCTGTCTTCCCATGGACTGGTTGCACCTACCAGTGAGCGG